GCCGGATATGATCTCGAATCAGGACGTTCATGCGAACTCCTTCCACCAGTGGGTCTTCTCCATCTTTGCAAATCCAAAAGAGCCGATCCCTGTTACCCTCACGGATGCAAAAAGACACAACTTCGCTAAGGAGCTCGCCGTCCAATGTCTTCACTGACACGTTCTTGTTGTCAAACGGTCCATCTGATGCCAAATTGTTTCGGATCAGTCGCTCAAGTTCATCGCGATCATTGGGAGGCTCTCGAGATCGTTGTGGCAACGTTGAAGTTCGAGGTCCATCCATGGCCCCTGAAGATCGGGATCCGTCATCGGTCCCTGGCACGTCCGAAATGTGCGGTGGAGGATGATCTGGGCTCCTGGGAGCTGGCCTCGCAGATAGTGGCCTCGCAGATAGTGGCCTCGGCGATGGACTTCTTCCCCTGGATGCTTGTGCATGTCTCCAAGGAGGTAACTTGCGACGAAAACTTGGTGATCTTCTGCGCCTTGCTGGTGGCGACGGTGGCGTCGGCAATCTCCGTCGACGCAATGGACTCCTTGATCTCCTTCCGGTCTCGGCCATCCTTTTGATCTCAACCTGTTCTGTCCTAAGATGTCCAACATCTGCTGCAAGCCCTTGTACCAAACGTCGAATCTCATCAAGTTGATCTGATGTAGGATGTCCTGCAGTGTGGTGATCTGATGTAGAAAGAGATGAATGTCCACCATCATTGGCTGGAGTGTCGCGCACGTCACGGTTTGAAGCCACACTGCCTCGTGATCGTGCCAACCTCGACATGTTCGGGATCAAATGTCTGATTTGTCCCAAGCTCGCAGCCATGTCCTGACATCCATGACAAACTCCACCACAACGCATCTCGCCCCACATCCAAGATGATACATGAATGAGAACAACGTCATAACTAAGGACTTTGAGACACCTGTAGGCAGCAAATCCTTGTCCCACTGACCTGTGGCGACCTGACTTGCACTCCAAGTCCACCAGCACCTTACTGTCGGCTTCCTGCTGTGTGACGAACTGGAGGATGTTGTTGAGATGTTGGATGAGCCTGTCTACTTTGCTCATAGTCTCAAGGATCCCATGATGCCAACCCACATGCGACCTGAGGTTAACGTCCTGATCAGGATCGTTAATGTCCTCACAGTTGATGCTCAAAGTGCTCCTGCTGGTTCTGCACGCATGTTGTTGAAATCTACGTCCACGAGTCATGATGACCACCTTCCTGTCACTGCGCAGTTCTTCATTCAACTTCGTCTGCAAGATGTCGTAGTCCCTCGAATGAAAACCACACATGTCATGGTCAGCCATGGCAACTTCCGATGTGGATGCTGTGTATGCGATGTTGTACTTTCTGTGACACTTCGGGATTTGGGGAAGTTCATCCGACGGTGTGTTGTTGATGTTGGTCAATCCTTCAGTCAAGTTCATCACAAGTAGACCTGATTTGGAACATCTCTTGATATTCAATGGTTGATCTTTGATGGAAATCACCCCTTTTGCTAGGTCCTTCACTAGGCCTAACTTGGTTTGCGCATGCAATGAAAGAAGCAATGGGCTGTTGCCTGTTGACAATTGATATGAGTCCAACTCCCCATGCATGTTCCCGTCTGGAAGCAGCAGCGAAAAAGGAATAGATCTCACACCTTCGGTCTTGGTACTACCACTTCCCAGACCAGCAAAACTCTTACAACCGTCATCCTTCAATGGCATGCTGTAACCTAATCGGGCCAGTCGTGCTTCTGCATCGACTGCCCAGGCTTTGCTATGACAAGTGCTGTTGCAACCTTCATCCAATACTGCAAAAACATGGGGTGACTTGGCAATGTCAACAGTTTCATAGTTCATGTAAACCAAGTCTTGAGGGTATTGAGTGTCACTTCCATGCAAACAAATGCCAACGTACCCAGCTAACTCCCTGCCCGAGGGGTCGCCGTGCCCATCTTCATTGACAAGAGAAAAACTGTCCTCTTCCTCTGTCACGTCATTGATGGCTTGATGGAGTAGTTCATGTAGACGTGCACGGGTCATGACCTCAGATTGACAGGTTTCGGTAACGAGAGTGGCAAACAGGGGCAACAACTCTTCCAACTGGACTGGATTCAATCCATCCGATTCTTCAACCAATGATTCAACAATGGGGACTGCTCGAACTGATGCTGTTTCAACCTTCTTGGCAATTGCAACACGCTCCTTACGAATCTGCATAGGAGCTTCATCAATGAACGTGCAACACTTCTTGCAGAAAGTACGGTGAGTTGATTTGCTGGATCCCCGAAAATCTGTGTCGTCATGAGGGCAATTTTCAGGGGTCATCAACGGTACCATGTCACGTCTTGTTGTTTCGGAATGACCGCACACAAGACAGGTCTTCCTGATGGTGTACCCCGTAGAACCTTGTTTTGTAAACTCACGACATTCCTGACACTTGTTCGGCAAAGGTGGATTTGGGGGTTTCCTCCTGCCAGTTTCCCGAGTCACCAACAAATCTCGGTGCTCGACACGCTCAACAGGGACTTCGCGCAAGTGAATCCCATCAGCACCAACCACAAAGTACTTGTCAACCCAATTCAACCATGTGACATAGTATGGACTCTTGGGGGTATGTTTCTTGGCATGATGATAGTACCCTGCCTGTTCAAACAACACATTCCAAAAAGACAAACCCTTGAACTGTCCAACAGGAAAGATGCACCCATGGTCCTCGGGTCTCATTGTAACATCGAGATCCCGGGAAATCAAGCCAACGTTGCTGCTGGATGCTGCTGCACGTGAAGGTCGACTGCTGGGCTTCGCTTGTCGAACTGCCATCATAGCAACTCCATCTCTGTCACGATCAGGTGAAGCTGTCAAAGTCACACCATCGTCATCTGAAGAATCGCTCATGTCGGCAAAGTGAGCTGCGGGCTTTGGGGCTGACTTTCCAGGGGCTCCGGCTTTCGACCCCGGGAATTTACATTCCGGGTCACCGGCCCAGTGCCCTATGACTCCGCATCTCAAACATTTGCTCTTCGACTTCAGCTCGGTGAGCTTCCGTCTCCTCTGATCGATCGTGAGGTTGGACTTCACGATCTTTCCTTTCCCCTTTCCTTTGGGCTTCCCAAAGGATTTGCCCTTGCCACCTGCTTTCCCCATTGCAGTGAAAGCAGCAAGTTGTAGCTGGATGGCGTCTCCTGCTTGTCGATCATCTTCTGCACCTTCAACTTCAAGCAAGCTGTTCAATGCAACTGCTTCGTACTCATCGACGTCGTCAAAGTAATCAAATTCGTTGTCACCTTCTAGGTTTCCTGGCTCCTCTTCTGCAATGTCACCAAGCATGCCAACATATGAATCATCCTCCCAGGATTGATCCACAGCTTCATCCCAAGGTTCTGCATGTTCCTCCCCATCATCGGGGTAGGCTGCATAGGCTGCTTGGGAATACGATCCCTTCGAAGAAGGTTTGCCTTTGCCATAACCCTTGCCTGACGACTTGCCATGCTGTTGAGGATTACCACGTCCTGTCCAGGATCGTGACCCTTCTCGCAAGTGAGTGCCACTGTAGTTCTCGATCAGCACCTTGCCAACACCTTCAAAATCCTTAGTGTCTGCACAGGCCTTCACAACGAGGATCTCTTGTCGATTGAGTCCACTCAACTCCAACATCAACTCTGTCCTCAAGCTGTCTGAAAACACCATTGTGTCATCCAACTCGCATAGCATGTGCCACCAACGTCGTCTCCTCTGAACATAGGAAAGCATGGGTTCGCCTGGTTGGCGAGACAAAGGACCACCTTGCTTCTGTCCTGCACGAAATAGTTCCTTTGCTTCCTCACGAGCTCTTGGAAACACATGGGATTTGATCTCACCCACAAGTGTCACTAGCCCTCCAGGTTCAGACAATACTTCAAGTCCAAGATCCCTAGCTATTGAGAAAGCATCTCCTCTCAGTCCTTCAATCACCTTGTTGACCAATGGTCCACGATCAACATCTGTCTTCTGCTTGCCGGACTTCGAGGATTTTCGGCTCGTTCCAGACTTCGGAGTCGAGACCGCTGATGTAGGCTGGGTTGCTTGAGTTGCACCCGACAAATCTGGAAAAGTAGCATACTCATCTGCGTCTTCTGCGGCAGGCTCTGTTGCTGTGGTCCCAACGGGATCCGCAGACTTACTTGTCTCCTCCAGTTGTTGCTCATAAAGACGAATCCGAAGGAGTGTCCTGAACTGCCAATCATGAAAGTTCGCCGCATCACCTGCATAGATGTACGATCCACTCTTTGTCTCAAGTGGTGCCGACGAATGGCGCTCCTGGCTGAAACGAAGGCCATTGATCGACATGATGCTCGCTCCGTTCGGAGTCGAACAAGGAAAAACGTTAACAAGTGTCTGCCCTGGTCAGGGTCAGACAGATTCCCGAACCACGACACACTCGAAGTTCAGTTGATTCCCAAAGTTACCAGACTCAAATTCACAAAGGGTTCCCTGGGTCACTGACGTACCACCGGATGCAGGTCGTCACCCGCTCCGCTACCAATCTGAATTGGAAACGGGATCGTTAGTGCCCAACTTTTAACACGGCAGCGCGGTATGACTCAAGGGCCCTAAAGCCAAATGTCAACGGGGGCATGTGATCACTTGGCTATACAAAATATACATTAGACAGGTCAAACTCACAAGTGTGTTCAGCTGGGATCGGCCTTTAAAATCGTATCTTGTTGGTAGCCGGCCAATCCCCCATTTTCATCCATTTTCTGGTGGCCGGCCTAGCCCCATCTTAAGTGGTTAGTTAAGTCCCATTTTTGCGATTTAAAAAGCCGCCGCAGTTTCCCTCTTGTTATTTCACATAGCAAAAAAACAGTTTTTGGCTCGGTAAAACATCATTTTCATAGTCTATGTCTATGGGTCGTGGCTTCCATAGCAAACTGTTGCATGATTTTTAGAGGATCAATTACCTTGAAAAAATGCTGGTTTTCCAGTTTGCCCGTACGTTAAATAACCACTTCGGTTTTCCAGTCGGTCTGGTCACCTGGCTCTGTATCTTCAATGGTCATACACCAGGAGTCGCCGCAGCTCAGGAAACTGCCAAAATCTTTTTTCAAGTCCTTCGCGATGCTATTGACACCATTGAAAGCCTGCAAGATCTGCCATCCCGAACGATGGAAAAAGGTTTATAGCGGAATTAGTGGGATTTAGAGTACCCCAAAAAACTTTACGTAACTTAAAATAAATTGACATCCTAAAGATTTTCTACAAAAAAACCTTTGAAGGTGAGTTTGGATTAGAAAACATTCCACTTGGATCCACTTGGTACGTGCTTTATAACCATGGTTCGTGAATCCGCTAAGGCTTGTTGGTATGGGGGGTTCCTGACATGGGGATACCCCATTTTATCATCCATTTATAGATTGATTTTCCATGAAATAAACATCAATAAACCATCCAGCTATTGGGTATCCCCCGCTTATGGAAACCCCCATACAATGTGTATAATCGGAAAGATCCTCCACTGGAGTAACAAGGTCTTGACAGCAACTCACCAACCTTTGTCGATTCATCACTAAATTGTTTCTCCTGAAAATATCTATGGGACAGTCCCGCCGAGGTTTAACACCATGTTTGGAGGAAAGATTCACGTTTTAAAGTTTTAACACATTTTGAGTGTACAAATCACGAAGTCTACCCAAGTGTTGAAGCAAAAATCAACCATTTTACATCATGTTATCATATCTTTGGAACAAAGACGTAGCAAAAGTCTCTCAAAAACCATGTTTACCCCTCCAAGAAACCGCTTGCATCTGTTGCTGCGCCACAGCATGTTGCAGTGACTCGGCAGCCATGCCCTTCATCGCACTGAGATCCGCCATGGCATGTGGATAGAAACGGTATAGGTGGATAGGTGTTGTGGTATCCCAAGGGGGTGTCCTGTCCGAAAATGTGTGGAGGTATCCCAAAAATGGATGGTTAATGGAAAATCCAGTGGGAGATCTCCAGGATCCTAAAATGGAGGTACGTTAGTACCATATGTTTGGCTATATTTTGGAGGGATATTCCCTTACATAGGCCATTGATAATAACCCTTATATTAATGGAATCGGTACCTCGAATCAATCGGTTCCTGGGACTTGATACAGATGTGGATACATGGGGGATGGTTTGGGCCATTGGGCAGACACCACACAGTTAAATTGCTGGGCTGGCTACCCGATGCTACCCTTAAAAAAATCACTTCCAGAGTCACGTCTTCGAAAATCTGAGCAGTCCTGAAAAAAAACGCAAAATTCTCATGTTAAACATTAATGGTTTTTTAATTTTTGGATTCCCATACTGCAGTATGATCTTCTCATCTTACGTAACCCCATGTTATCATCAGTCAACCATGGTTTTGGTCCAAAAATCATCACATCTGATGCAGACTCTGCAGGAGTGAACTGATCCGACCCGTGGCGTTTCGACGTAAATCGCACAACCTGTTTTGATGGGGGCATCTGGATTCGAATTGAACATGATTTCGTGATTTCTAGCGTAGAAAAATTCAACATTGATTCCAACGCGTTGTTTCTAGCCCACTGCCATAAACTTCTTGCATAGTATGAAGTGAAAATTCATGCGCTGGTTTCAGAACGAAACTTTCGGGCGAAAATTTGTCAATTCCTGATGAATCTGCAGAACAGCCCCCTACAGTTTCCCAGTTTCGCCTCAGTTCAGGATGGTGAGCTTCACCAAAGATATGAGATGATATGTGTTTTTTATTTACCTGGTAATTTGTGACATAGCTATGGAAAATTGCCATAGAAAGTTCGTTGATTTACCAAACATGGTGATTTTCTATGGCGATATTAACTTACCAGACGTACCAGAGGGTAACAACCCTTAAATTCTTGCTTTTGTTTGTGCAAACTCATTCACCGTGAGGTTTTTGTGAAATTCGGATGACTCTTTCGAGTCTGAACAAAAACATGGCACCCCGTTTTTTCCACCGCACCATCGACGAAAAAAAAAAACGTTTTTTCAGACACTGCAGGGCCGATCAATTTGTTCCTGCGGCGGATAAACGACTGTGATCATAATGTGATTCGACTGAGATCATTTATCCCACTTTTTTCCTTAAAATAACATAAAATAACCGTAAATTGATACCATAACATACCATAACCATGAATTGATAAGCATGTGGGAATAATTTCCCCCACTAGCCACTTTGGCAAATCTGGCAATGAGGTTTTTCTAGTCCAAAAATGTCACGGAAGCTGCAGTGCCAGCAGAAGAAACGATGATAAAACATGGCAATGGTCAATGTCTAGAGTCTAGAATCTAGTAGGATACACGCACAGCATTGAAATGTCGAGTCTGGTACGCAAAGTGTTTTTTCTTTTCGGCATTAAAATGATGTGACTCAATGTTTTTGATGGTGCTTTAAGTGCCCAGACATTTGAGGGGTTGCCGTTCAAAGCCAGTGGGTTTTTGATTGACGGTCGCTGCGAGGCCTGCAAAAAAACAATAACACACCCTCAAAAACGGTGTATCCTTATGTATCCTTTATACCCCAATGCATGGCATTTTGCCCAAATAAGTCCTTGCGTGGTTTGACATGCTATTCTGAGCATCGCAGTCCGGCCTACGCAGCTCGACCAAACACATCACGCGCATCACAACGTGGTCGATGAAGAATCCAATCGCCAAGTTCTGTGCCATGCGCATAGGGGGCATGCATTGTGCCCATCCATATTTGCACCTAGAGACCAAATTCCGGTGGGAGAAACCGAGAAACCGAGAAACCGAGAAACCGAGAAACCATCTCCACAGAAGGTCTTGCAACATCCCCAAGGATTCCCAAGGACGATGCACAAAGAGTGCACAGAGGAATATTCAGATCGTTGAAAAAACGTTTGTTTTGCCTGCACTTGTTCTTCAAATCAAAGAAACAAAATCCCCATGCTTCTTGGGAACCTCCAAAAGTTTCAATTTCATCCGCAGTTTTGTTACCCAGCAACATCCCAAACCGTTTTTTTCTTTTTGGCAAACCCCATATTTAGCGGTTGGAAACACAGTTCTGCAACCCACCAAATTTCTGTCCTGGTTCTGCAGAGGCAAGATCTTCTCCTCATTGAAAGCTGCTCAATCCACCTTTCAGTTTGGGTCCCATGGGCTAAAATTGTTTGGACTTCACTGCGCAGCCAGATGGTTTTATCCGATCTTCGAAAGTAAGAAAGTAAGAAAGTAAGAAAGTAAGAAAATAAGTAAGTAAGTAAAGTAAAGTAAAGTAAAGTAAAGTTGAGTTAGTGAGTGAGTGAGTGAGTAAGCAAGTAAGCAAGCAAGCAAGTAAGTCAGCAAGCAAGCAAGCAAGCAAGCAAGCAAGCAAGCAAGCAAGTGAGGTAAAGTAAAGTAAAGTAAAGTAAAGTAAGTAAGTAAGTAAGTAGGTAGTACACCAGCTACATTAGACATCAATCAGATTGGACAAATGATGTACGGCTGAAGTCCCCAGCCAATTGGCATTCTTGTACTCATTGAATCGAAGATGGGATGTGCGAACCATTTGAATATGTATGCAAAACGGATCAAAATGGCATGTTCCTTGGATGCGAATGTTTTGTCACTGTTTTCCATTCATAGTCTTCACGGTTCCCAAAGATCGTGGAGAAGTTGGCACATCGTTTCTGAGGATTCCCAGGCACCCAAGAAGCTGCGCAGCGGCCAAAAGGACGCTGAAGAATGGATGGGGTACACCTGTCTTTTGGTTTCCCACACCATCACACTCCCCCCATGACCTTTGGTCATGTGCTCAAAACTGGGAAAAACTGGTGGTCATTCTGACCACAAATTCCAAAACTTCTCAGGTTATCTACATGTTCTCATCCTCTTCTGGCGGGGCAGCTCCGTTTTCTTCAGTCACCACCGAGAAGTCTCCATATGATGTCTCCTCGGGTTACACCTGCTCCTCATAGGTTGAGCTTGCCTCCATTGTAGCTCCGTGCAGGAAATCCCAAAGATCTGGATCACTGACTCGACATCCCCACGGTTCGCCTCCAAGTAGCGAGTCCTCCGTCGCTGTGGGGCTGGTGGCAGCGGAGCTTGAAGCACACGCAATGTCGCCTCGCGAGTGCTCTCCCCTCCCCTCACGCTCAAGGTGGACCCATCGTTCCACCTGTTCGGACTGGCCATAGGCCTCATCAGCACCGTGCTTCCCCTCGGAATCGCTGGCACCGGTGTCGATGTAGGCATCGGCATGGAACTCTTTGATGCCATCGATCCCCCAGATCGCACCGAAGACGCCATATAGGGGATGCCTTTGCAGTAGGTGGCCCATAGGCCCCAGGGGCTTGGCGGAGCTCCATGTTGGTGGGCCCCTCGGCCGCGGACCCATACCTCCATATTGGCCTGTGCTGGCAGGCGCTACTGTTGTAGCACCACGCTCCGCGGGCGCTTGTCCCCGCCGTTGTGCCGCCGTAGATCGCCCAAGCTGCGCCGGAGGTTGCCATGCACGGTCTCCTTCCAGAGGGTTCCACTCAACTACATCCGGGCGCAGCCTTCGTCTTCCTGAAGAACTGGCACCAACGTGGTTGGTCTCGGAGAGGCGGAAAAAGGTCCAGCCACGCCACCGCCCTTGCGCAGGAGCATCAGGCATTGTATGGCATTGTGCTGTCCGTGCTCCAGTCATCGTGCCGCACGGCAAGCTCCCAGCCGCGCGGGCCACTCCACCAGATTACCCTGGTCGGCCGTGGTTCCAGGTCACCAATCCTCACAAGGCATGACCGATGCACCGGATGAAACTTCCTGATCCTGAGACCCCGATGAACTCCAACTACCCATCCACCATCGACCAAAATCCAAACATTGTCCTTGGCCGCATGTGGTGGCTGCATGTAGCCGTTGGACATCCATGGCTGCGGGCCCAAGGTTCCTAGCAACCTCATCGCGCACAGACGCGGCAAACCCAGGGAGCCCTATAGGGGTATTCATTTTCCCTCACCCTGGATTCCGAAGTGGGTTCATTTCCCTCACCCCGGTTTTTGGCCAGGACACTTTCTTTTTTCGATGGTCCACTCTTTGGGTGCCCGGAAGGTCTTCTCGCAGTCCGAGTGGATTCTCAGGATTGGCACCCCCAACGCCCTCATCTTGCCGAAAATACTGCTCATGCCATCCAGCACCTGAGAGATGTGGCGTGACTCTAAGATCTCCACCATGGTGACATTCTGAAGGCCTGCTGGTTAACGGAGCTCCTTGACGTTCTCCGTTCAACGGTGACTGCCGCATCCTCTGCCACTTCTGGGCTATCCGATCCCAGGTCTCCTTCCAATTCATCCATCAACTTTCGATCTCCATCCCCCAGGGGGTTGTGGATCTTCAGCAGAAGGTTGAACTTCACCAGCATGGACTTCATCGTCTGGGTCTCCAAAGTCTTTATGGCATCCCAGATCTCGAGCATGTCTGAGTTGACCCGATGCATATCCCACGTAGACAATCCCTCCAAGGCAAAGCGCTGACCTCTCTTCCTCTAAGTGGATGTGGCCATGGCTGACGCTGTCGGAGCCTTGATGTAGTTCTGCATGGAGGTCCTCCAATCACCCCCACTACCTTCCCAGCACACGTGAGCTCCCACAGGAAAGCCCACATGGCAGGGTCATGCAAGTCAATGCCGTTTAGAATGTCGATGGCGAGGACCGTGTACCCTGCCTGCTCAAGCTCGCACCATGGCCAATTGTAGTTCTTGCCAGAGAAGAGATGCAGGATAACTTCTCGTGATCGCCAAAGCTTTGGCGATTCCAGGGCAAACTGGTAGAAGAAGAAACCTCCTTCCAACACTCTCCTTGGCCCCGCATGCACTTCCAAACTGAGTGGGGTACTTGAGGCCATCGCTCGGCCCACCACCTCCTCCTTCAGCTCCACATCGACCTGCTGCATCTTTTCAAGGTCGCCAAGCAAAGATAGGCCTTCAGCCCTTGACATCACCGGGCATCCTCCTCTCAAGCTGCATCGCAATGGACCCTTTGTGGGATGATGAATCACAATATTGTCTCTTCGCCAAGTGATCCTGTAGTCCGCCGCCACCAACCAAGCCAAAGGAATGATTGGTTCCACAGGGCTCTTGCTCAGCAAGGTCTGGTGTTTGGGGTGCTTGTAGAGCGTCGTTGATCCACAGGCCAACCGCACCTTGGTCGGTATGAGGTCAGCTTCTTCATCTGGTCGTGCCTGTCGAAAGGCATGCGTAGCTCCACCATCCTGTAGTGCAAATTCACCTGGAAGTCCATAGAGCCCTTCTCCAACGGACTTGACCCGGAAGGCCTTCAGTCCTCGAATGGACTTCAACAAGCCCGTCGCCTCCTTCAACAAGTCGGTCGCAGTCTCAGCAGCCGGTTCACCCATTGGTTCAGCCTGCGGCATATCAGCAGGGGCCGCTGGTTCAAGCATTGGCTGAGATCCACCTTTTTCTGCATCCTTCCCCTTGGGGTTCATCAGTTGAGCCCTTTGACTCCCTCCCATTGGAAGACGTCGTAGCTGCCTTCACCTTCGATACCTTCTTCCCATCAGGAGTTGTAGTAGAAGAAGAGGTCGAAGTGGTCTCGGCACTCCCAGCAGACTTGTGAGGACACTCACGTTTAACGTGGCCACTACTACCACAGTTGAAGCACTTTCCCTTCATGTCTGAGGTATCATGCAAGAAGGTACATGAAGCCCCCCTCCCTCTTGCATCCTTCGTAGTTTTCCAATAGCGACATGCTCCCTTTGATGTCGTAGAAGCAGAAGTCGTTGCACCAGATGCCACTGTAGCCAAAGATGTGCCACCATCCAAAGCCTTCAAGGTCGCAGCAACACCAGTTGTAGTCTTCAACTCGATGCCCAAGCAAAGCTCCTCCGCCTCTGACTGCAAGTACTCGGCGTAGAACTCCACTGCCATGGCCGTGGGCCTCACATCAACTGCTAGCTCCTGTCGCGCTGAAGCAATCCTGTAGGAAAGTTGCATCCCTCCAAGCTTCCCCAAAGCATCAGCGTACTTCCGCAGAATGCCTGTCAGGATCACTGGGTCTGGCAACGTCAGGTTGAGCTCAATGGCACGATTTCGCATCCTTTTCCATTTTCGCAAGCCGCTCAGCAAATCATTGGCCGTCGTAGGAATGTTCCCTTCCATCAGCAAGTGCAGGATGCTGGTGCTCTCCGAACTGCCACCAGGTTGACATAGCGCCCACAGGCGCAGCATCACTCCAACCACATTCATCACTCGGTTGGACACCAGGTCTCGGTATGGACTTCAGGAGAAGAGGCACAATCCTCTGCTCTAGGCGCAAGCAGGCCTCCGACCTCAAAGCTTCAGGAGCTCGGAGTCGGATCCTTTCCGAAGGCGTACTAGTCAACCACCGGTCGTAGAGCGCTGTGGTCTCATTCAGAACCTCGCCCCACCATTCTCTGGCTGGGTTGGAAATGTCCCCCACCAGTGGTGCCACCAAGGTCAAACAATCGCCAAATTGAAGGGCAGACTGCTCTCCACCAGGTTGCGGAAGCAGTGGAAGCTCCGCACTCTTCAAAACTTCCGGACTAGCTTGAAGTCCGTGTTGATCTTGGCCTCCAAGTCCAGGTGGTCTCGTTAGAACTCCAGCACCTCCTGAACCGTTTGGTATAGATGTAGATGTTGTAGCAGCAGCCGCACCACCAGATCCATTCAGAACTGTTGCAGAACCTCCATAGGCCTGAGCTCCACCATGTGCTCCTCCAGTGCTATGCGCTTCGCCTTCATAGACAGCGATCCACCATGTAGAAGATGTCCCCCATGTAGAGCCTGTCCATACCCAGTCTGCTGCGGTGACGTTGAAGCCCCAGCCGCCGTCGTCCCAAAGCCCGGAGGTGGAGACATAGCTGCTGTCGTTGTTGCGGCAGCAATAAGAACCCCAGCTCCCTGACCACTGGAAGCGGTATGGTAGGAGATCGCTTCACCATCATGACCACGAAGTTTCTTTGCCTCACGCTTGAAGTTCTCTTCGGCCTCTCATACCAGCCTCAGTCTCAGCTCTTCAATGTCTCGCTCAGGAGAAGCTTGACCAAGTGCACCAAGAAGAACATCGCCAGGAGCCTACCAGCGCTAGCTCGAGCTCCAGGTCCATCCCCATCTATGACCGCCCCCAGTTTCTCTGCTGAGCTTGCTCGGACCAGGGCCTTGTCCAGCGACACGGGTATTCCCCAGTGGCGATATGCTCTCCGGGGATGCTCTTGCTCCTCCAATGGACGACCTTCCATCTCCTTGGCCACCTTCTTTGTCATCACCTCGATCAAGTTCGAGTCGTGCAAGTAAAGGGACCAGAGCGCATCTTCTTTTTCCAGGTCCGGGAAGATGGCGTCTCGCCTGATTTCACAATGTCCCAGCAGCCCGGCCCCAGTCAACGGTGACCGCAGGGCCAGGCGCCTATGGGCGTGCTGGAGGACGCCGACTGCCGACGACCATCCCATCGGCAAGACCTTTGCGCCGACGTACACATCTCCTTCTCTCTCACCGCCCAGCACCGACGGTCTGCAAAGTGCCCCATCCAGGACGTAGTTCACCAAGGGCCTGCTCAGGGCCAGCGATCATAGTTGCAGCGGCCTGCACAGGACCAGCACCCGTAGTTGCCACGGCCTGCGCAGGGCCCAGCGCCATAGGTCCAGCAGCCTGCACAGGGCTTGAGAACTATGGCCTGCACAGGGCCTGCAGTCATAGTCGATGTGGCCTCCCCAACACCAGAGGTCCGAGGAGGTCCACGGTTCACCGACCACAGCGCGCTCAGCTTTCACCTGGCGCACATGACCTGGCAGTAGGCCTTGTCCTTGGCCAACATCTTCAACAGCTAAGGGCTGCTCCGACGTCGGTCCATGGCAGTCAGCCCCTACAGCGAAGTCACCTAAGCGTTTTGCTTGGGCTCATAACAACCTGAAGATTCCCAGGCACCCAAGAAGCTGCGCAGCGGCCAAAAGGACGCCTGTTTTCTTGAGCCATGAAAATGTATTGTGTGTCAACCTTGTGCAACGTGGCCATACTAATCAGCCAGACTGTTACACTTCTCGATTTTTATGAAAAATGGATGCGGTACACCTGTCTTTTGGTTACCCACACCATCACAGTTTCAAATCATTTCAAGTGCCTCTGATCCGGTCATTTTACAAACAGAAACACAAAGATTTGAACGGCTTGACTGATTCCCCCAGGAGTTTCTTCAAAGGAAAACACTTTTTTTGGACCTTGTTACATTTCTTTTGGACCTGGACACTTTTACTGGACCTTACTACAATTCTCTTGGAGATGGCTACCCTTCTTTTGGACCTGCACACTGTCCTGCTGGACCTCATCCTTCCTCCTGCTCGACCCGTCCCTTTCCCAAACCATACCCCTTTTGGATAGATTCTCCAGTTTCTGTCCAGCCTCGTCTGCATCGCAATTTTTCAGACAGTAGGGCGTTAGAGCTGCGCTAGCATGCAACTGGGCAGGAAGTGCCATGTAGTGTTGTTCTCACAGCTTGAACCGACTTGGACACTCATCCTGGTGAGTTTGTTGCTGCTTGCGAGGGGTATAGCCAGTCTGGGAGCCTTGAGCTCCAACCTGTGTGAGAATGACAGTTAATGTGGCTGCCGTGCCTGGACAGTAGGGGGCTAGAGCCGCGCTAGCACCGTCTGCTTTGCAATCCCCAGGATGGGTCATTGGTGAGTTCGTTGCTGCTTGCGAGGGGTATAGCCAGTGTGGGAGCCTTGACCGCGCTAGCTAGCAGCTAGCATGCAACATGGCAAGGAGCCTTTCCTGTACACGGTCTGCTCCCAAACCATACCCCCTTTGGATAGATTCTCCAGTTTCTGTCCAGCCGCGTCTTGATTGCAATTCTTCAGACACAGTTCTTGCATTCATCTTCTTGCATTCCAGCCGCGTCTACATGTCCATGCGTCCTGTGACCGTATACTAACCAACGAGGTTACATGTCGACCCATGTGGCACGATCAGCTGCGACCATTGTGTCCAGGAGCATCCCTCGCCGGTACGTTTACACATCTGTCCATGACGGTCTTCGTTGCCTGCAGCCGATGTGGGTTCATTGTCTAGGCTTCACCCGTCAACTCTCAGCAACTTATTGCGCTCATCTTGTTCTAATATCAACTTTCTCTTTCCCCAATGTGCCTTTCAACCTCCTGCATCCATTTGGTTTCATATGTGGGTTTCCCCCCGTTGGCCTCTCGACAACTTCTTGCCTTTATGCTGTTTCAATATCCGAATTTCTCCTGCGCCCCTGTGCCTCTCAGCAACTTCCTGCACGCATTTGGTTTCAATATCTCGGCTTCCCCTGTCTCTCATCTGGTTTCGATATCTAACTTTCCCCCCTGTGCCTCTCATGAAACTTCTTTAACTTCCTGCATTCATTGGGCTTCAATATCTATACTCTCTAGGGAGTGCAGCGCCCATCTCCTTGTGACACATTGGGTTTCCCACCTCCTTCCCATTCTGCCCTCTTCTTCTCAATTTCTACTCTTCACATCTCTGTGCCCCACTTGGGAGCATTCACCTGGCTTCATTATCTAAACTTCCCCCCCTTGTGCCTCTCACCAATTTCCTGCATTCATTCGCTTGGTCTCAAGACTTCACCTCTGGCCTCCTCTTAACAACTTTTTGCATGCATCTCAACTTGGTTTCAGTGTCTAAGATCCCCCCTTGTCTGTCAACAACTTCTTGCGCTCATCTGGTTTCAATATCTAACTTCCCCCTGGTGCCTCTCATCAAACTTCCTAAACTTCCTGCATTCATTGGGTTTCAATATCTATACAGCCTCCCCAAAACCTTCTTGCGTTCATTTTGTTTTAATATCTGAGCTTCCTCCCCGGTGCCCCACAACAACTTCCTGCATTCATCTTGCTTCAATATTCCCGGTGCCCCTGAGCAACTTCCTGCATTCATTTGGTTTTATATCTGGTTCCACCGTGGCCTGTTAAAGTCCCCCCCACCTGTGCCTCTCCACAGCTTCCCGCACTCATGCGGTTTCAATATCTCAGCTTCCCCTCGTCTCTCACCAGCTTCTTGCATGTGCCGTCATTTGGGTTCAATATCTAGACTTCCTCTTCTCGTCTCAGCAACTTCTTGCGTTCATCCTTGTTTCGATGTCAAACTTCCCCCTCTCCCACCTGCCTCTTTCTCACCAATTTTCTGCGGTCACCTGGCTTCAATATCTACATGTTCCCCCGTTTCTCTCAACACCTTCTTGCATGCATCTTGTCTCAAGATCTAAATTCCGCCCACCCTCTTCCAGCATTCATTTTCGGGTCCCAAAAATTCCTCCTGCGTCTCTCAGCATTTTTTTGCATGTATCTTCATGTATCTTCATTTCGTTTCAATGTCTAGGCTTCACCCCTCATCTCTCAACAACTTTTTGCGCTCATCCTGTTTCAATATCGAACTTTCCCTTTCCCCTATGTGCCCGTCAATTTCCTGCATCCATTTCGCTTCATACGTAGACTTCCCCCATTGGCCTCTCCACCACTTCTTACGTTTTTATTGTTTCAATACCGGAACTTCCCCGGCATCAACAACTTCTTGCATGCATCTTGTCTCAGTATCTAAATTCCCCCACCCTGTGCCAGGTCCAAAAAACGTGTACGGGTTTCAAAAAAGAAGGCGCCAAGGTCCAAAAACATCCAGCCCAATGTGAGCGCCTATAACAATGGAGTTCCCCCCCGACCCTATGGAGGCAAGGTCCACGAAGCAGGTGCACGGGTCCAAAAAACAGAAACCAAGCTCAGAAACAATTAATTTGGCTGTCGAAAAAAAAAACTGGGTTCAGCACAAATACATGCAGGTCTAAAAAAAATATCCCCACAGGGTCCAGAAAACACACAAGCAAGTCCCCCACATTTTTTGTGACCCTAGGTCCCAAAAAAAATTATGGTTAGGTCCAAAAAACATGTACAGGTCCAAAAAAAAAGGTGCCCAGGTCCAAAAAACATGCATCCCTTCTTCAAACAAGTTCAAAAAGGGGGTACACCCCAAATCCATTGGTATGCTTAACTCCTGGACAGACCCATCTGGCAATTCATGTCCCATCTTTCACCAGCCAATCCTCGGAGATATTGCTGTGGTGTCTCTTCAACATAGTAACCTGGAGAGGAAAAAAGTATGGCTGCAGCGGTCGGACAAATCGGATCCAATGATGTGAAACTGCGTCATGGAAATTCCAGGCCACCTTTTCTGGACTTCACATGGCTTCACATGTGCTGTGCGATCTAAAGATTTGACTTCAAATGCATGGGATTCCTGTCCAAGTTGCCAGGGGTGTCCATGGAATTTCGAGAGTTGAGGCTGGTTGGGAGGTTTGGGGCGCTGGGAGCAAAAAAATGTTTTGAGATGGGTTGATTCCATCCCATCCATCTTCATGGGGAGCCGGGCTTGTTCTCTCAAGGGCTGGAAGAGCCTGAAGATGGGGCGGGATCGGACCCAAATTCTGACCGGGGCAGATGTTTGAATCTGATGCGATCACATGTTTGATTGGCGTTACGCTTCAAATGCCCTGCATAATTTTCACGGTACCTCATACGATATCTACAACTTCAGTCGAAAAAGGATTTGATTTGGATGTCAAACCGATGAACTTGGTCCATGCTCACCCTGAAACCTAATGTTAGGTTTGTTACGAAAGATTTCAGGTTTCATGGATCCAGTGAAGTTGTGAATTGTTTTCCCCTGGATCTGCCTCTGAACGGCTCCACGCGCCAGCTTCACATCACAGATCTTGGTCATCCTGAGACCAACCACCCCAGCCCTGACGCAACTGACCCAATGATGTGAAAAATTAGATAAAAGATGATAATTAAAAGTATAAACGTATGTGGTGGCATGGATGGAAAAAAAGACGGGAAGTGGTATGGGAACCTGCTGGGAAATAGGAAATGGGTGGAAAACCTGAAAATTGGATGGACATGGTCAAGTTAGTTGGTGAAGTCTCTACTGTTTGGCGCACTTTCAGATGCTTTTACACATGTTTGCATTGACATCGGAATCGCTGGTTTTTTGTTCTCTCTCTCTCTCTCTTTCTCTCTCATTCTCATCACTCCACGTCTGACAAAGCAAACGCTCATCCTGTCCAGTGGTGCGGGGTACTACTGGTACCATCTTCCGGCCTACCATGCGAAAATTCCTGCTGCACTGCAGCACAGCAAACGAACGTGATGGGGTAAGAGCGAGCGGGATACAAGAGCGACAAACCCATCATACATTTGAAATTTTGCAATCCTCGATGCGCTGGACAATATGTAGTCAGAAATTCCATACAAAAGGACCAATTTGGGACCCAAGCTGTTCAACTACCTCTCTTCTGAAGTGATGCCATAAGAGTTCTCTCCGCCCCCATGTCAAGCGCCCAAGGTACGGCGAACCATTTTGAGAAATGGGGGATCCCCCATTTGTTTTGCATGTTTTTTTAGGAACAAGAAATTGTGGTATTTTGGAGAGTTTTGAAAGGCTTTGGGGGCTTCAACTCTCGAGACAACTTCGTATCCCAGCTGATGCAGCATCCTCCAGGCGATCTGCAGCAGAAGGTGGACCCAAACCAGTCCTGCAGCGTGGAACGTGTGGAACCATGAATTTATGCCTACAACGAATCCTGGCGAGTTCAAATCCACCATTTCTGAAAGGAAAAAAACATTTTCAGGATGTCATTGTAACATCTGTCAAGGGTCATTGTCCACTTCGCCCTGTTTCATGTGCAACTCCGAGATGAACCAAAGAAATTGAGCATCATATCCTGATGCAAATGATCTGGATTCCGGTTTCTAAAGTGATGGCTTACCTCGACTGCAGATACCCCGGAAAACATTGCATCTTGAATGAGCTGCTTGGTCTATTTCCCCCATCAAAGAAACAAGGGTTTACCTATAAATCTGTGGATAACATTTCAGCATATTTCAGCCACACAAATTCCACTCCCACTGCCTGGCCTGGCGGACTCAATGAAGGCTTGCAACGGCATGATCCTTTCCTGCAGCCCAGATCTGCGGAGAGCCCATCAACACTCTGACTCGCAGCTGGTCGAAACAAGAACCAAGACTTATTCCACTCTGTGCAAAGAAAAAACATATGATGATTAAGACTTGAGTTTTTAAAAGAGACACAAGAATACATTGTGTGCTTTAGAAGGAATATAAGGAACTATTCCATCTTACCGAATGCCGTTTCACATCACAATGCGGTGCTGCGTGTAGATGCATGCCTGATGATTTGGTGATGAGCAATTTCACCCGTCTCAAAACAATATATAACCTACTCTGAGACTCTGATGTCAAAAGTGGAGATGCAAAATGCAAAGATTCAACTCACGTTGAGAACGACTATTTGCACGCGTTGTCTGTCAAAACTCAAGGCACGCTGCCCTGAAAAAGTTGAAGCGATCAAACTAAGAATGGACTCAAGTTCTCGCTCAATTCTTGAATGCCAACATCGGGAACTTGTTTGGTTGAGAGTCCTGGCTTGAACCAGTTTGAACCGGGAAGAAATGATTTGCAATGTGTTTGGTTGGCAAATGCCATCCAAATAGAAGTAGTGAAGATATACCAGCCTTCTGAAGATTGACAGCAACAATCGCAAGCTGTCTGTCCCGCACCTGGCCAGCTGGTGCTCTAGTGACACACTGCTACACTCTAACTTTTACTGGAGAATTTGTTAAACTCGCTGTTGGTTCTATCCCAGTCTGCGGGTTTGATAAATCTATAGGTTTGCTGATGAATATCCCAAAGCAGCCAAACCCATGATGTCATCCTAGAACGCCACTTCCAGAAATACGAGGTGGTTTAGCCCTGGTACCCCTCGGATTCACACCAAAGATGGAAATCAAAGCCATTCACCATCAGAAAATGTCATGGCATGATATGGCACGATTCGAATTCACACCAAGCTGACAAGCCAATTTTTGTGGTTTCCCCAACAGTTTCTGTTTGCATATGAAAAACATATGAAAAACGAAAAACAATTATTGATGGATGGAGGATCATTCCCCATGGGGAAACAGCAACCACCATGGTCAAAACCATGGCAGATTGACGACTCAGCGAGCATGAAGCATCAGCTGCTGCGAATTCTGAAGAGCCTGGGCGCCCATCCGCAGATCACCTAATCAGTTGACAATTTCTGTTTTCTGAAAGATATGTCTGTTACAGTAATCTTCAAGCAGGAGAAGAGACACAGCGCACACCCACGCCGCCGCAGTCCTCATCATACTGTCGGCATTGCTACTCGTGCTACGTGTTGAACTCTTCAATCTCAGGAGCAGAAAGGCCCGCTTTGCAATGGATGGCTTGCGCACACACGGACTTCCTGCTGCATGGCAAAGATCTCGTCTTCTTTTTACACTTCCTCTCGCCTTTGGCTGAGGATAAATGGGAGAGCCGAGGAAAGATATCCCATTCGCCGAGCTTCAGTCCTTCCTCTCCAAGTGGTAGAAACAAGACTTGGGCTTAGCTGGCTTTGCTGGCTTAGCTGGCTTAGCTCTCTGGAGAGCGGAGTTTTCATCAGAAACTGCGCGGATTTCCTTCCTTACCGTGATGAAACGAGGCAGCAATCGTATCGGGATATCAAAATATGGGTCAACTTGAGCATGCTTTCCTTTGGTGTGGCAACTCCCGCCGATGCTGGACAACGCAGAGCTTGCCATGCTTAAAGCAGCATCCGAGATACTGCGGATCACTTTAGGCTCCATCCAGGTTGACGTAAACTTGTTCATCTGTCTCATGCCATGAGAATAGCTGGAGATCATATCACGATTCGAGTGGAAGGCGATCCAACTAACTGGTCAGAGATCTTGCAACCACAACGGTGCAAGCCAGGGAGCTGGTTGAGATGACATGCCAAAACTGTATGCCATGCATCGGTTCTTCAGGATGGGCCTCAAACAGCAAAGAACGTGTCAGACTCGGGAAACAGGGACCTCTGGTGAGCTGGCTCTGCTCCTTCCATCTGTCACTATCTCTCAATGCTGCCGCAGCGTCTCAATTGTGGCCCCTTCAGGTCTGCGGGATGGTAAGAACAGAGCAATCACAGGTCTCTACAGTGGAAGGCTTGGCGGCCCTCATTGTACACACAGGGTGAAAGGTTTGAGCCTTTAGTGGGTGACGGTGGGGACCAAAGCCGACGCCCAACCTGCCACACCCATGGTTGGTGGTTAAGCTGTCACGGCTGTCACACCGTGTGAGGCCTTAGACCATCACGTCTTGGAACCTGTTAGGCCTGCGCCAAACCCTGGCAACGTGCTTTTGGCATCAAATGTTCCTCTCTACAGGCACCCTGAAAACGTTCAAGCTATAATTAAGCATTAAGACATGCAGACATGCACATCGTTGTCCAAATTCTGTACAAAATACTGCGGCAAACAGTTGCTGAATGGCTCTCCTGGCATTTCCCGCAAGACATTTGGCCTGAACTGAGTCTGCACTCTTTGGTTTTGACAAGTTCTCGCCAATTTCAAAAGCTTATCTTCTGGGAATCTCGATTTATACAGCTGGCTGACAGTTAAGCGTCCGCCTGTGGGAAACATCTTTCTGTGCCCAAAGGTTGCTTAAGCTGCAGCTGCACAGTAGACAGCTGCTTTGCACCAATCTTTTCATAGTAGGTGTTGGAATGTCAGCCTTCGGCCAGCGCAGAACTGATGAATCAATGAGTCAATCATCCACTGCAACAGCTGTCTGCATGTCCTCAACTGAGTCTGCACCTTCTGCTTTGGGCAAGTTCTCGCCAATTTCAAAAGCTTATCTTCTAGAAATCTCCATTTGTACAGCTAGCTGATGGGTCGTGGCTTCGAGGGCGAATAGCTGTGGTGCCAGGGATCTTTGTGGCCAGGCTTTCACACAAAATATCCGCCCAATTTGAAGTGAAGCTTCTGCCTGTGGAAAACATCCTTCTTCTGTGCACGTAGGTTGCTTAAGATACGGCTGCATAGTAGACAGTTCTGTGTACCAATCTTTTCATGCTAGATGTTGCAAATTCGGCCTTAGGATATTTGGCCTGAACTGAGTCTGCACTCTTTGGTTTTGACAAGTTCTCGCCAATTTCAAAAGCTTATCTTCTGGGAATCTCGATTTATACAGCTGGCTGACAGTCAAGCGTCCGCCTGTGGGAAACATCTTTCTGTGCCCAAAGGTTGCTTGAGCTGCAGCTGCACAGTAGACAGCTGCACAGTAGACAGTTGCTGAATGGCTCTCCTGGCATTTCCCGCAAGACATTTGGCCTGAACTGAGTCTGCAATCTTTGGTTTTGATCATTTTTTGCCAATTTCAAAAGCTTATCTTCTAGAAATCTCCATTTGTACAGCTAGCTGATGGGTCGTGGCTTCGAGGGCGAATAGCTGTGGTGCCAGGGATCTTTGTGGCCAGGCTTTCACACAAAATATCCACCCAATTTGAAGTGAAGCTTCTGCCTGTGGAAAACATCCTTCTGTGCACGTAGGTCCCTGAAGCTACGGCTGCAGAGTAGACAGTTCTGTGTACCAATCTTTTCATGCTAGATTTTGTAAATTCAGCCTCCGGTCCGCACTAAACTGCAGAATCAGTGAGTCAACTATATATATATACGCTGTAACAGCTGTCTGCATGTCCTCAACTGAGTCTGCACCTTCTGCTTTGGGCAAGTTCTCGCCAATTTCAGAAGCTTATCTTCTGGGAATCTCGATTTGTACAGCTGGCTGACGGTAAAGTTTCTGCCTGTAGAAAACAACCTTCTGTGCATGTAGGTCCCTCAAGCTACAGCTGCAGAGTAGACAGTTCTGTGTGCCAATCTTTTCATGCTAGATGTTGTAAATTCAGCCTTCGGTCCGCACTAAACTGCAGAATCAGTGAGTCAACCATCCACTGCAACAGCTGTCTGCATGTCCTCAACTGAGTCTGCACTCTTTGGTTTTGGCATTTTCTTGCCAATTTCAAGAGTTCATCTTTCGACGATGCTCGATTTGCACAACTGGCTGACAGTCGAGCTTCTGCCTGTGGGAAACATCCTTCTGTACACATAGGTTCCTCAAGCTAAAGCTGGATGGTAGACAGCTTCTTGGCACCAATCTTTTCATGCTCGAATTCAGGCCTTCGCTCAGGCATGAAGAATCGATGTGCTTGTAAAGATTTTCCCATATCTATCAACTCAGGTCAGGTAAATTCATGGTGCTACTTATGATCATAAATTCTTGCTTGCATTTGAAGCTCCCGGCCTTGGGTTGGCAGCAAGTATCCTGGTCGCATAGTGCTAAAGGATCCGTGATGTATGTGGGTTGCTGGTACATGTTGGAGGTCTGCCATTCAGCCATCTATTTTTTACGAAAACCAACCCTCTCCACAATGCAAATTCCTTTTGATTCCGGAGTGTGAAAGGGACTGTGAAAGGGACTGTGAAAGGGACTGTGAAAGGCAAGTCTAGCGAGTCTGAAAGGAATTCACGAGTCTGACTGAAACCTGTCTAAGCCCAACATCCTCCTGCTCTCTTGCTCCTACCGAAGTAGAAATTGCCGCGGTTAATGACTCATCATGCAACATCTGCAGTTCTGTTTCGAAAGCAAAATCGATAGATATGATAGATATCGGATTGGCAATGCAAGTTGCCCAAAGTGCTTCAGGAATTCAAAATCATGCTGTGATTGATTTCGCCCTCCTGTCCACTGAAAACTGAGCCGACGTGTGCCAGCAATCCTCCTGAGAACGGCAACAGCACGGCCAAGCGAAAGGACGTCAGATTTCATGCAGCCAGATTCTGGGCAGCTCCAGGCATTGCTGGATGCTTGAAACTTAAAAGACTTAAGAGCTCAAAATGATTGCCTGCCTGGAAGCAAAAACTCTAAACAAGCCCGGTGCCATGCATTAACCGCTGTGTGGTCTTGCCACGCCTATGGCTGCACCTCGCCATGAGCTATAACCAACAGTGTTGAAAAAGCTTTCGGTCCGACAGCCAACGACTGGATTTGGCACCATGTCGTGTCACTTTTCTTTGCAGCTGCTGGGCAAGACCACGATGCGACAGGGATGCAGAATCTCTCGTACACAAAGGCTCTGCGCAAGCAAAAGTGGCGTGGGGATGTTCAAACCTGGAAAATTCAAGCACTGTATCCGAGCGTTGAAAGCAGTCCCCAAATGAAAAAAACGCAACGGCGATGACGCGAGTCCTTTCAATCTCAGTGGCAAATCGATGAGAGGAGTTGACACAGAATCACTGATTGGTTGCAGCTGGAAACAATGGTCTGGATGCCAGGAATATCATGGAAAATCTATTGATCCTTATCAAGGCAGGTCACAGGCGGAAAACCAATGGGTACCAAGACTTGCATTCCGACCAGTCAGAGACCGATTATCGCTTCGAAGTTTTATCAAAAGGCAACTGCGGCCAGTCTTCTTGCGCAGCCAAGCATCGACCCACAGACCAAAACGGGGTTTTGGAAAAAACAGGGCGCTACTGCTGCTAGTTGTCAGCTTCACATAGGCCTTAGGCAACTCAGCTCAAATGGAAACGTCTGCAGCACCCGTCTTCACTGATGCTTGGCAGCCACCTTTGCTCCTCAGGCTCCTACTCCAAGAACCCTCCCCTTCTTTTGCCACAACACAACAGAAACAGGAAACTCTTTGAACTCAAGGCAATAAACTGGTCATGGACTGTCCTTTCTCCTGCATACTCACCACATGCAAGAAATGACTATCAAGAAACCTAAATCGCTGCTGAACTTGTCATACATGGTTTTGTCTCATAGGATATAGGATTGACCATTGAAATGAGAGCTCACCTCTTCTACAGCAGGTTCAACGTGTGAATGCCCTAAGCACTTTAAAAGGAAATCAAAATCGTGCTGTGATTGATTTCGCCCTCCTGTCCACTGAAAACAGAGCCGACGTGTGCCAGCAATCCTCGTAAGAACGGCAACAGCACGGCCAAGCAAAAAGACGTCAGATTTCATGCAGCCAGATTCTGGGCAGCTCCAGGCATTGCTGGATGCTTGAAACTTAAAAGACTTAAGAGCTCAAAATGATTGCCTGCCTGGAAGCAAAAACTCTAAACAAGCCCGGTGCCATGCATTAACCACCGTGTCGTCTTGCCACGCTTATGGCTGCACCTCGCCATGGGCTATAACCAACAGTGTTGAAAAAGCTTTCGATCCAGTATCATGGCCAATGCACTCGGTCAGGGTTTGTGAGGGGTAGTGATATGCTAAGAAGAATGAGGATCAGGGGACTGCATTAGTGGCGTTGAATGTCTCACGGAATGGACAGTCAAAAAGTCAAAATGGCAATGTCCGTAACACAACAGCAGTTGAATGTCGGGTCAAACCAGCATCATGCTGTGATGAAAGGAATTGGTTGCTACGCATTTCGCACAGGTGATGATTTCTGTCCGACCATCATTGTACTTTCACCTGTCTTCCATGCCGCAAACATATTCTTTCTCAGGTCAGACTGCCATCGTGCTCATACTTGAAAGATAGGCAAAGCAACTGCATGTCTGGATTGACATGGGCGTGAGCACAAACACCTTTCTGCAAAGCCCTGCAGCAAACAGAAACCTTCAAAACTGCAGAGCACAAATGCCGCATCATGCTCCAAACGCGAGGGAACAGTATAACTGACAGGCGCCGAACGTACAAAACTGGATTTCAATGTACATGATTCGTAGTTTGTTTCAAACATTGGCTACTTTGGGGCAACTGAACTTGCGCTTGGCCCTGGCAGCATATGAGAGAATTGGCCGGTGAGACGTCAAGCGACAGAATCGAACCTGAGATGATGAAGTGATGTAGGCTGCACAGTTGCATATATAAAATACACCTTGTGTCGGAGAGGTTGGAGAGCCACCTGACACAGTTGCGTGATCTGCTTCCAGGGCTGAATTAGTTCGAGAAAGCTGACCAAATTAGGCAATACTTATTGCACGGGGCATGGCAGTGACAAGGTACAAAATCACCGCTCAACTTACAGGTCTTCCAGGCCACAGATGCACCTTAGCCACCAAAACTGTACAATCGGATGTGCTGCTCTGAGTCCGAACCAATAGATTCGTTGCACCAATGTCTTCGCCCAACTTCTGTCAGCTTTCACTGTTAATTCAGTGGAGAACAAGTCTGTGTTGGCAGCAATGATGAGCACCAATGGCGCAACGAACTGTCAATCCACGAATTTGGCGATTTGGTGGCTGTACCCACTCCCCTGCTGGGAGCTCAAAACGAAGTATCTTGGCTGAAAGTGATTTCAATCTCTTCGTTTTGTGTCGGCTGCCACATGCAGAGTCGCATCCTTTGGCTCTCTTGAGGCCTGGTTTCTTGCACAATTTGGTTTTTAAAGTCTTTCCTGGTCGTGCTTGCCCACCATCTTGAAGGAAAACTGCGCGACAACGCAGATGTTGCAAGTTTCACTTGATGCAGCAAGGCCACCCCACCGGGTGAGTAAAACCAGCAGCGACTGCAATCTTGGGTGAGGCACAAATGTGGATAATAAGGAATGAAGCTCTGAGAGGGTGGTCAGCTTCTTCACTACACCCTGGTACTTTTAGATCTTCCAGGCCATCAACTTCGCATTGCGAGGCCGGTCGAGGCCATTTTCCAGGTATGTCCCGGAGCAATCTGACAAATGGAGGCACACTGTTAATAATGGTGGCACCTGCAATGCATGTTTGGGGATACGGCTTACTGTAAGTATAGTTGTTGACACCTAACAGGCGCCGCTACTGGCGTCAAAGATGTCTTCTGCAAGCTGCGAACGCGCACTGAGATGAGAAGCACGCAAGCCCACTGCATGGGCCCGTGTGACAAAAGAACGCCCAAGACTTCCTCTAGTTGAGGCCAACTGAACCGGAAAATGCTGGCATTGCCATGTTGCAGTAGGCCCCCTTCACTGAGCTCTTATTGTGAAGCATGCGAAGCATGCGAAGAGCGGCAAGGTCTTTGGCCTATCATTGGTTCGAAGGTGGTCAAGGGCGGCAAGACTTCAGATGGTTGAGCCGCAATTTCACTATCACATCGGATTGAGTTTTCACGTGCAGATCACTGTGTCTCGTGCGTTGGAGAGAGCTTATGGCAAGTAAGCAAACAGGCCTCCCAAAGGCATAAATACATTCAAATGGCCATGCAAATAATAGCGCGTGTGACTTGACCTGGCGCAACTTATAAATGATTGGGCTAGGCAATCTCAATCATGAACACCAACACCCGGAACAGAGATTAATCCTGCTGTGTCTTTGTGTGCTACATACTTTGCAGAATAATTCATGTGTTGCTTGTATACTCTACCAAGCTCGGCCGATCACTGGCTAGTCGTGAGCGCTGCTTGAATGAGAAAATATTTTTTCAAGGCAACGGCTGCATCTCGGCTCTTTTCCCCAGTCATCCAGGCCCACGGCAAAAATTCCCACTCTCCTGGACAACTTTGCATCTTGGTAGTACCATGGAGATTATCCTAACTCAATGTCGAGCCTCATCCCATGCTTCCATGCTTTATCGGCAGGGAACAGTGACACCTCAGCGGTGTTCAAAACCTCCATAAAAACGGAATGGAAATGATTCCTGCTTGCATGAAACCCTTGCGCCATCCTTGCGACCACAACGGGTTTGTCCATGGTCAATCTTTCAAGATGGGCTTGCACAAGCTTACGCAAAGGGGTTTTGCGTTTGCAAAGCTTGTGAAAAGCTTGCATGTGTGTGTGTGTGGTCTCGTTCAACTTTTCCGTGAAACTATTTGACCGAATACTAAAGCCGTCTACAGGCAGTATTGAACGCGGCTCGCGTGACTTTTCGCCACCTCACAGCTGGCCTAGGCATGAGCCGCATGAGCGGACTTCCAAAAGCAAGTGCTGACGAGGACGATAAAAGATTTCAGCAATGTCCCCGTTACGGCACGAAGCACACAGATCCCAAATAAGGTACCTCGTACAGCCGGGAGTAGCTGTGAGTCAGGCTACATAGTTCCTAGGTTTGTTGTCAGGGCGTACTTGTCGATCGCCGGTCTTCAAAGTCTTTGCTCTTTGTCCGCGCCATCAGCACTGGAATCTGACACGTTTTTCCTGGCAATCAAGTCTTGAATCTATATTATATATACACTGATACGTGCAGCAAATCTTATGTTGTTGGTTCATCAAACATCAAAATTCAAAATGTGTCTCAAATTAAGCTGTTGATTTGCATCACCAATCAAGTTTCATCCCATTGTGATGCTGAAATCACAATTGAAACGCGCCGCTCAAACGCCACAAACCCAAAAGGCACCCATCCGGTGCCCACATCAGAATCAGCACGTTCCAAGCTTAAGAAAGCCATCAGCTTTTGGTCTTTCCCTGCTGCATCGTTTGGCCATGTCTGTGCTCCATCGTCGAACTAGCAACTATATTTCTGAGTTCGGGCTTTGCCGGGCTTCAAACCTGTTTTTCAGCTGCTTGCTCTGTCTCCAGTGCCACATCTCTGGGACTTCGAATATTTCGAAACACTCCGACACTTTTGAACCAAGCTGAGTTTCATACTTTGTGTGTTTGTGTGCTACATACTTTGCAGAATAATTCATGTGTTGCTTGTATACTCTACCAAGCTCGGCCGATCACTGGCTAGTCGTGAGCGCTGCTTGAATGAGAAAATATTTTTTCAAGGCAACGGCTGCATCTCGGCTCTTTTCCCCAGTCATCCAGGCCCACGGCCAGGCAGTATTGAACGCGGCTCGCGTGACTTTTCGCCACCTCACAGCTGGCCTAGGCATAGGACTCACCTTTTTATCTGGTGTGCCGAACCGAAGGTAGTCATAAAACCTCTGGCTTTGCCAGTGAACTTCATTGAATTTTTAAAAGCCAAGTCAAATGGAATGACTTGCTCTCTCTCAGGAGCCTGCCAACGGTCCAACTGGAATGGACGTGTTGGCACCTCCGGCACATCCTGCGGTCTATTTTGAAATCCCAGGCATGGCCCTACATTGAACTTCCCTGGTCTCCTCTTGCAAGGTCAAAGATATGACCAGCAAAAGGGGCCTGGGAGGGTGGGCTAGCTTTGAACCTAAAAGCCCGGAAAGAACACCATACAAACGTTCGTCCTAACAGTCGACACGACTACCAAGGACTCACCTTTTTATCTGGTGTGCCGAACCGAAGGTAGTCATAAAACCTCTGGCTTTGCCAGTGAACTTCATTGAATTTTTAAAAGCCAAGTCAAATGGAATGACTTGCTCTCTCTCAGGAGCCTGCCAACGGTCCAACTGGAATGGACGTGTTGGCACCTCCGGCACATCCTGGGGTCTATTTTGAAATCCCAGGCATGGCCCTACATTGAACTTCCCTGGTCTCCTCTTGCAAGGTCAAAGATATGACCAGCAAAAGGGACCTATTCCACGGGCCCTTCCTATGGCTGAAAAGCCGTTTGAGGGCATTGATTTGCATGGAGAAGTATACGTTCAAAATCAGGTGGAGGAATGCGCATCTGCGGAATTTGAGCCAGAGCATCTTCGAGGTAGATTCTGGCAACTGCCAGAGATCTCCATCTTCCACGGAGCAAGATCACATCCAGGGGAACCCCCTCCTGGAGGAGAAGAGTTGCTCCTCCCCTCCTCATGCTATAAGGTTTGAAAGATAGGTTTGCTACTCGAAAGAAACCTAAATATCTGCGGAAGGTTTCACGAAAGGCCTGAGGAGAAAAAGGCCAGATACGATTGCCAGGCCGCCAGGGCTGCCAGGAAAAAAGTGTATCCAGCAGCATCAGCGTAAGCCGGTCACGTATTGCAACGGCCTCTTCAGAGCCATGACGGAGTCCTGTCTTTGAGCTCTTTAGGGTAACCACCCCACAGCTCTCCCCAAGCTCAAAGTCCTGATATTGAAGCGCAAGGAGCTCCCCTGTCCGCAAGAGACTGTGGAACCCCAGCGCCACCAGGACAGCGAAATCCAAATCATCACTCTCCACAGCGCGCGCGATAAAGGCCTTCACAATAACTGCCGTAATGGGAGGAGCACGTGAGGGGGATTCAACCCGTCGCCAGGTACTGAAGAGTTTCCACGCCTGCTTGAGTGTACCCTTCAAGTCAGGTCGAAAATAATGCAGTCCTGATAGGCAATCAGCAATAGTGTTGACTGACTCGCCAAGAACCCACTGTAGCTCTACCCATTCACTGATCACATGATCAAGTGATAACGAGCCATCCTGAGCTTCTAGAAAAGGTAGGATCGCACCGACTGCTGCCTCATACCTCTGTCTAGTCTTGGGCGAGATGGAAATAGCCTTGAGGCTGATACCGGCTCGGAGTCGACGCCTCTCGGCACGGGTTTTCCCCGCCAGCACCAAACGAGGTGAGGCGCGCGGCATGAGAATTGGAGCAGCAGTCACAACCGACTAGCAGCATCTGTTGGGTTTTCATCCGAACCTACATGACCATGTAACAGGAAGGATCCCATTGCTATTTGGATCGCCCCGATCTTGTTTGTCAACGGCTGCAGCAACTTGCTAGAGGTGCGACCCTTACAAAGAATTAAAAGGGAAACCATACTGTCTTCCAAGTGAAGCCAACGTCTTTTGACGGCACTGGGAGCCCTACATTTCCAAAGGAGGGCCAAAAGAATCATCTTCATCTCTAAGAAATTTATATGAGCACCGCTCTTCCACTTGACATTAAAAAGTTGTTTCCACTGCCACCACAACGCTCTGACCGATGCATGGTGAGGGGGTCTATGACTAAGTACCTGACCAGTAATAACCCGTACATCAGACCCTGTATGGTTAACCGAGAGACTTAAGTTCTTGACCAGCTCGACCGCATCCGCAGGTGTTGTAGGTGCTGCTCCGTATGCCAGCCATCGTGAAAGAGGCACTGCCAGGTCCGGATGGCAGGAGGCACCCGGGGCGAGTCCAAGCCGGAGGAGGACTTGCGTTGGTGACATCCTTGGGATCAGGTCTTGACACAAGACAGCTCCCATAACAGTGAACGGGACCATCGCAAAGCTGTCCCCGCAGAGACTGCAGCGAATGTCCTCATGCTCTTGAAGGCTCTTCTTTTTAAGGGACGCCGCCTGACAGGGCTCAGTGTGGCCCGGCCCGAACCCCAGAAGCAGTTCTCTTTCTGACGCGTCCAGCAGCCTGGCAGGCCGCCCGGGCGCATATAACCAGTAACGGGGGTTGTATTGGTACGGCGGGTACCTATATTGATCGTTTGTCCACATATCCACCATGGTTTGAGAAGCCTTGTGAAGTCCTGCTGGATAAGGGGGCGGTACACGTCTCTTGATCGCCTTCATGAAGGTCGGGAAACGCTCGGTTGAAGGGTTGCCGCTCCAGGTCCAGCCAGGTCGTATCCACTGATGGTTCTCAATGGCCGCGTCAGCACTAATATAGGCCCGGACGTATTCCTTTTCCGGCCAGAGCTGCAACCCATCCATTTGGTGAACCTCTTCCGACATCCAGGCAAAACGAGGTCGACTAATTGGCATGCAATCGGCCGGATCCAGCTTGATAGGACAAACGTCCAATTCCCGTGAAATTACCATCCTCGCCTCCTCATCCATGGATGCCACATTTTCAACACAAAACTTAACCTTGCAGGTCGGCTTGAAGACCTTCTGAACCAGTCCAATAACCTCTAAAAGTTTCCAGAATAATTTCGAGCCTTCTCCATTCGGCGGTAAGGTGAACACAGGGGAAGCCACCATATAGGTGGATCTCGCTCGCGCGGGGGAACAGGTCCGCCCAGCGACGGACTTCCCTTTCGTCTATTTCCTCTATATTGTGCAGCTCCAAAACTCCAGGCCATGCTGTACGCGTGACCCTGTTTGCTGGTTTGGATATATCGATAGCGATACGTCCCATGGGGGCCACCCCCAACAAGTCATACACACGGAAGGCTCCGCCTATACCGTTGAAGCATGAAACTATCACTATTGGCAAGGCCAGCGGTGCCAACCTGGCATCCGCACGGCTCGCCACCAGTGATTGGCCTGACCAACTCAAGCCAGTGCTGACTGCAGCCGCACCACCTGTCTCCGAAGCATCTGAAACTGTCACCATCCCATCATATTTAGCTTCCAAATCAGTCTGAAGTAGGGGTGCTAGGCCACAAAGTACCCAGAGTTCCCGATAAAGGGTCTCGATGTCCAACCTGCTGGGCCACTTTCTTTCGATCGCACGCCAGCAATTTGACAGCGACCCCATTGCCGCCCGCCTAAACTGCAGTAGGAAGACCCAACGGCCTAACACTACTTGGGCTTCACGCTTGCTCCAGGCCCCGCGTTGAAACAGATAAAGTGAGGCCCAGATAGTGCGCAAGGTCCTAGCAGGGGATGCCCCCAGCAGCCCTTGCACTCCATCCAAACGGACTCCCAGCTCAATAACTTCCTTTGACCGCAGGACTTGCTTGTCAGCGGCCGACAACACGCCCACGCGATCCCAAGCGCGCATGGCAATCTGTTGTAACTCAAACCCCAAATCACCCTGACCAGTGGGGTCCCTTTCGCCGGAGAAGAAGTTGTCCAAATAGATTTGCCACCACGCTTTCGAAGGACTCGAGGCTTCGATAACCTGAGTAAACCAGGGGGGAACACGGCTTGACTTTTTAAACTCGAGATGTCCAGGCATCCCATGCGACAGGAGAATCTCCCTCGATACTTGTTGCATTACCCCCACTGAGGAAGACCACCCCATGGGGAGTACTCGAATGGCCGGCCTGAAAAACTTTTTGGGATCCTTTCCAATCCTCACGCCAGGAGTACGATAGTTTAGACAAAAGAAAGGATACCAAACGGGAGGAACGGCAAATAGATAGAATGCTGAAGCCATATCGCTCTGGTTCATAACCACTTGTTCGCCCTCTGATACCGCCATAGGCAGCCATCCCGTCGCATTCGGGAGATAGTCGATATCTCCCCGCAACACGGAGAAGAGTCCATTTGCAGGTATTAGATTTGTTATAACACGAAGAATAGGTTGTCCATCATCACAAAATTTATTTGGTTTCGCAACTCCGAAAAGTCCTGAAAGATACGTCCCACGCACGTCCGAAAAGCAGTTTCTTCGGGCACCCAACAGATAACTCCCCTCTCAAACAACAGATCGAAAACCGCTTGTTCTTCCCCTCTTTTTATATGTACCTTTGCTGTCACCGGTGAACCACCCCGCTCAGATGGAGGCAGTAAAGACTCCAGCGGGTTTTCCATTAAAAACTTTGTCCTACCCTGCAAAAAAGGAAGCACTTGAATTGATCCACCATGTCCAACAGGGGGTAAACCTTTAATGATCTGGGAACATGACAAAGGAAACGGCTGAGAGATCTCCTCCCCTGAATAACTGACCTTCTTGTTCTTCAAATCCTTGATCACCTCACCAAAACCAACTTCGGGGGTTGAATCACCTGTGAGAAACCTGCCTATTTTATCAGCCATGTCTTCAAGAGCTGCGGAATGCACTTTTCCAGGCTGCCGGTTGAATCCCTGCGTTGTGCAACCATACAACACATTGGTTGCGGCGCAGCACACTGCTACCCATGACCGCACGGCCAAACTCGAGAGTTTGTCAGCGGAGGCGTCATTGTCGAGAAATTCCTCCCTACGCGGAGGCATGACCGGCAGGGGAAACAGCTCCCCCGTGCGCGGTTTCCGCTTGGGGGGCCGTAGTGGCTCGGCACTCGAACTCAACTCTGTAGCAAAACCATTGATGAGTCCCCATGCCAGCATAGTCCCCATTGAGGTCATTGTTGCACACTTTTCCAGCTCTGCAAGCCATGATTCTCGACTCCGCGGGTAGCAAGGCAGGAAACTGCCAGCTCCGCCAGAAACTGTACTGTAGGCCCCAGTCAAAGGTGAAGCCACCATAGGGTCTCCATCTTCCCCCAAGGCAGGCTCGCGACGGTCAGGTGGCATGTTGCACGGTGACTTCGCACCAGCATCCACTCTGTTGCCATGAGTGGCGCCCCCCCACCGGCGAGCCTTTCTTGAAGGTTCCTGGATATCCACATTGTCAGGAACCCCCCGACACTGTACGCTTGCTCTGCGACCTTCCCTCAGCGTGGGGCCAGCCACAGCTCGAGGGCTTGTCACTTGTCCGAATCTTTCTTCCCTCCTGGCGGCTCTCCTCCTTTCGGCTTCTCGTCGCCCCAATTTGCCCAAGCTCCTTTGCCACCTTTTCCTTTGTTCTTGCCTTTTTTCCCTTTTCCTTTTGTATCCTTGCCCTTTCCTTTCTGCCGTTGATCCGCTTGCCAGTCGTAGCTGTACCAGCCGCTCTGCCGGCTCCATGAGCCCTTTCCTCCCGCCTTTTCCACCAGGCGGCAGTGTTTTTGTGCCGCGAGCAACACATGGGCCGGTGCGCTGGACTCGTCGCCCTCGTCCAGCAACTCGAGATACCTTGCGGTATTCCACCCCTGTTTGCCCGCTGTTTCTACGGCCATAAGCCTGGCTGATAATACATCTGCCAGCTGGTCCAGGTTGCCCTGTTTCAGAAGGTCCAGCGAGCGTGACAGAAGGAACAATTCCTTGCTGTCCCTCGACTTCGGATCCAACTGAGGCTTGAGGCAAAGTTGGTAAAACGCATGGAACTTCCCTTGGCCGAGGGAGTTCAGAGAGTCGGTTTGCCCGTCTCCCAGCGTCGTGTCCTGAGCTAACCTCTCTGCCACATGATCCTCCAGCATTCGGAAGACTGTCCCGGGGGACTTGAGTGACTTCCGTCTGAGAGGAGGCATCAGGCTTGCACTGCTCGACGAACTCTTCTCTGAGGAGTCGCTCCTTGACTCGCGACTGGAGCTGCGTCTCTTCTTCCGATGGCTCCTTCTGCCTCGGGAGTGGCTCGAAGACCTCCTTCTCTTTTTCTTTGGCTTCTTGTCCACAAAGGTCTGCATTCTTGCCGCTTCTGCCAAGCTCTCGCCCACGGTCTTGTCCTTCTTCGTCCTCCTCTTCGATTCTGCATCCACGTCGATCACCTCGTTCTTCACCATCTTTGTTGGGGGACTCACTGGCACCAGCGACGTAGATCCGTCCGCACGGTCTCCAGGTCCACCCCTTGGCGAATCCCGCCTGTGCTCTCGCACCCCATCTGAACTGGGCAACGCCGTGCCAGGTGCAAAGGAAACCCTTTTCAGCGCACTGGGACGCTTCAGAGCTCTCAGCCTTTCCTCGATCGCGGAGGGACTCTGGCCTCCCGCCAAGGAGGCTGTTGCCGGCTCTTGGAGACCGGAAGCCTTGCCAGGCTCTCTGCGCTCTTCTTCCAGGCATAGCCTCTTTCCTTCTTCGACCGACTTCAGCGCATGACGTGAAAGCCAGTCGGCCTGAAAGTCCCCTGGTGGATACCAGTGGAAGATACTCATATGTAGCCCAGATTGACCTTCTTCGGGACAGTCGCCACCAGCCACGGGCTTGCATATGTGCAAGCGATTTTTCTTTGATTTGAAGAATTTTTGCGCACTCTTCTTTGAATCTTCTCGATCGGCCCCCAGGACCTTTACCTTTGCCCATACTCCTCCAGCCTCGTGCACGGTCTCTAAGACCAGCAGGGCCACCTGGGGCTTGTCCGACGCTATTACTTCGGGGTCCCGGTATACAACCACTGAACCTGCTGGCAAATAGCGGTGGCGCCAGAAAGCTGCTTCCATCGTATTGTACTCCTCTGGCTTGGAGGGCTTGTCTGCGCTCCGCAAGGCTCTCCGGATATCTCCCGGCGTAGAGCCAGCGGGCCCTTCCTCTTCGTCTTCGGCATCCAGCCATTCCGGTCCAGTGGAACCTCCACCAGCCATTTCTGCCCTGTCCCGGGCAGTAGGGGCTTCTTACGCTCTGCGGGAGAGACCTTCCTCCAAACTGGAGGCCGGTCGCAGCCCGTCTTGTGGGTACCGCCTGTGACTTCGACGGAAAGGATCGGTGTTCTCCCTGATGTCGTTGGTGACGTGTGCCACCCCTTTTCTTCTTTCCAGATTTGCCCTTCTTCTTTCCTTTCTTGTCCTTTTTGTCTCTTCTCTTCTCGTTTGGCTCTTGCTGTTCTGGGTAATGCCGACCACTAGGAGGGTGTTTTGGCTCAGGTGGCTTCGCCGAGCTTCGCTCCTCCTCCTTCACCTCACGGCGGGGCGGCTCCCCCGCTTCTTCAGGCCTGTCGCCCTCCAAGTACTCCTCCTCGCTCTCCTCGGCGTAGGTGTACTCTTCGTCTTCTTCCCCTTGCCCGCGGTGATCACTCGACCTGGCCGTCGAGAAGTTGCGCGGAATGGGAGGTCGATCGTCCCGAGGAGACCGTGATCGGGCACGCTCAGGCCGAGACTTGGCAGCCGCAAGTGGAGACTTATCCACAGCGGCCGCTGTTACCAGGTTCGAGTCAAGGTTGGCAAATGCCTTGACCAGCCTCGCCCCTGATAACAGAGTCTCTTCGGCAATCGCCCTGAGACCCGGGTTGTTCCAGCGGCGCTTTAGCGCCTGCAAGGAAACCTCCTGGCCAGAACAACCCAAACACCACGAGTCTCCTTCCGCCTGTTTGCCACTCTTGCACTTATTGCAAGGGGCACCAGACCGCATTACCAGCTAGCTTTGAACCTAAAAGCCCGGAAAGAACACCATACAAACGTTCGTCCTAACAGTCGACACGACTACCAGAGCCGCATGAGCGGACTTCCAAAAGCAAGTGCTGACGAGGACGATAAAAGATTTCAGCAATGTCCCCGTTACGGCACGAAGCACACAGATCCCAAATAAGGTACCTCGTACAGCCGGGAGTAGCTGTGAGTCAGGCTACATAGTTCCTAGGTTCGTTGTCAGGGCGTACTTGTCGATCGCCGGTCTTCAAAGTCTTTGCTCTTTGTCCGCGCCATCAGCACTGGAATCTGACACGTTTTTCCTGGCAATCAAGTCTTGAATCTATATTATATATACACTGATACGTGCAGCAAATCTTATGTTGTTGGTTCATCAAACATCAAAATTCAAAATGTGTCTCAAATTAAGCTGTTGATTTGCATCACCAATCAAGTTTCATCCCATTGTGATGCTGAAATCACAATTGAAACGCGCCGCTCAAACGCCACAAACCCAAAAGGTACCCATCCGGTGCCCACATCAGAATCAGCATGTTCCAAGCTTAAGAAAGCCATCAGCTTTTGGTCTTTCCCTGCTGCATCGTTTGGCCATGTCTGTGCTCCATCGTCGAACTAGCAACTATATTTCTGAGTTTGGGCTTTGCCGGGCTTCAAACCTGTTTTTCAGCTGCTTGCTCTGTCTCCAGTGCCACATCTCTGGGACTTCGAATATTTCGAAACACTCCGACACTTTTGAACCAAGCTGAGTATAGGTCGATGACTACTGAAGCTCCATGGGCTTTGCGTCCGCAGAAATTTCTGCCAGTCACTGTCACCGCTCAAGGTTTGAACTTCTACAGGTAAGCAGCGATGAACTTTGAACGGTGTCCACCAAGAAGCTGTGTCACTGTCATCTTAAGCTTAGAAGAGATTCAGCAGAAAAAATGTGATTCAAACGTTTTTGAGTTTTGATGCTTTTATGCCGTGCGACGCTAAACTTTCTGCCTTTCTGCGCCAAGGCCGAAGCTTGGCTTGTGTCCATGCTCGTCCGAGTTTATTGTAAAAGGCTGTAATTTCATCAAAGTTGACCGGCTTCACAACCCAAAGGCCAGAGATGGCAACAACAGTTGTCCAATCTCAGCTGACGACTCCTGACGACTCCTGACGACTCTGACGACCTCGATCGCTGACGACTCCTGACGACCCCTGACGACCCCTGACGACCCCTGACGACCCCTGAGGACCCCTGAGGACCCCTGACGACCCCTGACGACCCCTGACGACCCCTGACGACCAAAGACGACCAAAGACGACTCCTGACGACTGACGACCCCCGGACGACCCCTGACGACCCCTGACGACCCCTGACGACCCCTGACCGACTGCCACAGGAGATCTTTGTCCGTTTTGACGCCCCTGTCTCTGACCTTTGTTCGTGTGTTGAACGTATTGGTTTGTAGGGTGGATGGGCGGGAAATTTCAACAATTTACCCCACATATTCTGTTGAGCGTATTGCTTTGTGAGGTCGAAGGGGTTAAATCATGTTAAATCTATAACAATGACTCATATGCTAAACCTATTGCTTTGTCGGGTCGAGGGAGATAAGTTTCAAAAGTGGCTCACGATGCCAATGTTCTTCACATGTTCAACATATTGGCTTGCTGTAGGAGAAGGAATTAACGAATATAAGAATGATTACATTTCATTTTGTTCATATATTCAACGTAATAATTTCCAGGGGAAGGAAAAGACACCTTAAACATGGTTCATGATGCCAAGTTGTTTTATATGTTGAACGTAGTGTTTTGGTAGGGGACAGCGGGGAAAAAACATAACAATGACTCAAGATTCCAAATTGGTTGATATGTTGAGCGTAGCGTTTTAAAAGGGATGGGGGGAGATGGAGGGAGTACATTCAAACTTCAAAACAACGACTCAACATGTCAACTTTGTTCATATATTACAGGTACTGCTTTGTATTTTGTGGAGTCGACGAGAGGTTATAAATTGCAAAAATAACCCCACATGTCAATTTTCTGCACTTGTTCAACCGTTTGCTTTGTAGGGTCGAGGGGGGCTAAATTTTAAGAATAACTCGACGTGTCAACTTTCACCGAAAAAAAACTCGACGTGTCAACTTTCACCGTTTTTTTAAACGTATTGCTTTGTAGGGTCGAGGGACTGTAAATTTCAAAAATGACTCAAGATGCCTTTCTTTCCATGTGTTCAACGTATTGTCTTGTTGCAGGGGAAGGCAAGGAACGTTTTGACATAAGTAAAGATGCCATGCTGGTTCATACACTAAACATAGCGTTTCGTAGGGGACAGGGCAGGTAAATCCAAAAGAATGAATCAACATGTCAACTTGATCCATATGTTGAATGTATTGCTGTGTATGGTCCAGTGGGCGTAGATTCCAAACATGACTCGAAGTTCCAATTTTGTTCGTTCAACGTCTTGCTTTGTTGTAGGGGAAGGTAAAGACATTTCAAACATGACTTAGGATGCCAAGTCGGTTCATATGTCGAACAAAGTGTTTTGTAGGGGGCCGGAAGGTAAATCTATAGCAATGACTCAACATGTCAACTTTCTTCATATGTTGAATCAACCGTATGGTTTTGAAGGTTCGAGGGGGGGGTAAATTTTCAAAATGACACCACGTGGTAACTTTCCGCATACAATGAACGTATTGTTTTGTAGGGTCGAGGGGGGTAAATTCGCAACAACGATTCCACGTGTCAACTTTCTTCCAACGTTGAACATATTGCTTTGTAGGACCGAAAAAGGGAATAAATTGAAAAATTGGTAACTTGAGAAATGACTCAAGCTGAGAATTGCCCCCATGTGTTCAAGATATTGTTTTTGTGGGGGAGGGCGGATGACAAAAGATGACTTAACGTTTCAACTTTGTTCCTATCTTCAAGGTTCTGACTTGCATGGAAAAGGACATGTTAAACACGTCTCAAGATGCCAAACAGGTTTGTTTGTTGAACGACTTTGAACGTATATTTTTGTAGGGCACAGGGGAGTAGATCTTTAACAATGACTCAACATGCCAAGTTTGTTCATTTGTTGAAGGGGGTGCTAGCTAGGTAGGGTCGAGGAGATGTAGATTTTAAAAATGACTCCGCATGGCAAGTTTCTTCATACCTTAAACCATTTGTCCGGCAGGGTCGAAGGGACGGAAATCCCAAGCATCACTCGACATGCGAAATCTCTCCATATGTTCAACGTGTTGTTTTGTAGGGTCGATGGGCTGTAAATTTCAAAAATGACTCAAGATTCCTTTTTTTCATGTGTTCAATGTATGGTTTTGTTGTAGGGGAAGGCAATTAACATTTTAACATGAGTCAAGATGCCATGCTGATTCATACGTTAAACAAAATGTTTTGTAGGGGACAGGGCAGGTAAATCCAATAGAATGAATCAACATGTCAACTTGATCCATATGTTGAATGTATTGATTTGTAGGGTCAAGGTGTTGGTAAAATTCCAAAATGTTCAACTATTTTCTTTGTAGGGTCGAGAAGGGTAAATTTGAAAACTGACGCGACATGTAAGCTTTCTCGGTATGCAAATGGTTTTATTTTGTAGGGTCAGTCGAGGGGTTGCAAATTGCAAAATGACTCAAGATGCCATTTTTCTTCATGTGTTCAATGTATGAATTGGAAAGGGAGGGGGGTGAAATGTTTCAAGACAAATCAACATTTCAACTTTGTTCATACGTATATTCAACGTATTGATTTTTGAGGAAGAAAGAATACTTTTTGAACATGACTCAGGATGCCACGTTGGTTCATATGTTGAACGTAGTGCTTTCAAGAGGACAGCGACGAAATCTACAAAATGACTCAATATGCCAATTTTCTTTACATGTTTAACGTACTGCTGTGTAGGGTCGGGGGGTCGTAACTTTCAAAAATGACTCAAGATGAATTGTCTTAATTTGTTCAACGTATTGTTTTGTTGAAGGGAAAGGAAATGACATTTGAATCATGACTCGAGATGCCAAGTTAGCTCTAATGTTGAACGGACGTAGTGTTTTGTAGGGGACGGGCGGGCAAGTTTGTAGCAATGACCCGACTCAACATGTCAACTTCATGGTAAGGTCAGGGGGGGAATAAATTTCAAAACTGGCTCAAGATCTCAATGTGTTTCATTTGTTCAACATTCATATTGTTTTGTGGCGGGGGGAGGCATTAAAAAAATGAACTGACTTAAGCCTTCATCTGTGTTCACAGTCAACGTGCTGCTTTGCAAGGGAGGAAACAATATTTTAAACGCAACTCAAGATGCTACGTTGGTTCATATGTTCAACTATGTTAAACGTAGTGCTTTGATGAGGTAAACCGATGAGAAGAACTCAGCCAGTCAACTTTTTCCATAAGTTCAACATATTATCTGGTAGGGTCGATGGGTGGTAAATCACAAAATTGACTCAGAATGCCAATTTTCTTCGTCTGTTCAGCGTATTGTTTTGTAGGGTAGGGTAGGGGGGCTGAAATATGTGAAAATAAATCAACACTTTTGACTTTGTTCATAAATTCAACGTGTTGTTTTGTGAGGAAGGAAAAGACATGTTCAACATGATTCAAGATGCCCAGTTCGTTTACATGTTGAATGCCTTGTAGGGGATGTGTTTGAAAAGCTATATAGCACTAACTACATGTGTCAACTGTTCATATAATATATGTTGAACCTATTGCTTTGCAGGGCTGATGGAAGGTAAGTTTATTCCCCTCTCTTACGCGCTATATGTTCTGACATAGTTTACGACATACCATCTGGAAGTATTTATGGCAAATATATTCTGATATTCTATCTGACATTCTTTCTGGCATTGTATCTGACGTATATTCTGCCATTCTGTTTGTTCGGGTCCAGGCGCGCTCCACAGCCTCCTGAGCGCGCGAGGAAGAAGAGAAGGAGAGGAAGGAGAGGAAGGAGAGGAAGGAGAGGAAGGAGAGGAAGGAGAGGAAGAAGAGGAAGGAGTCGCACCTTTG